GGGTTGGGTTAGGGGCGGGCAGAGCGCGCGAGCTGCACATTTGCACATGTGCGATAGTTGCACGTACGATGCAAAAAACGCCGTAACATAACACAACGCCGACGATCAAACATAAACGTTCACATGTCATTTTAGGTACCTACCCCTGGTAATATTCTCATCAATCGGAAAATGAGCCGTGTTTGATTAACACATCCCACTCTTGATGGAATTCAGCCAGTTTGTCTTTTCTAGATGCAATGAGCCGATCTATATGGTACTGCTTCATAAGACGTGCCTTAAATTCCCTGATTGTCAATTCGCTATCGCCTTTCAATTTTTTAGCTATAATGAATTCTTTCCCTAAAAGTGTCACATAATTTACCAATCGAGGTGCATCAACACAACCAAAAATGATGTGCTCTGCGCATACCCTGAAACGATCGCCTGACGCTCCTCGTAGCAAGTTGGCAATATCTTGCCACATTGCTTGCACGTTTGCACAATCCACTAGAAAGTGATTTATACTATCTTGATGGGCGCATGATACGCAAAGTGGAGAGTCAATCAATTTTCTAGTATGCAAAAATTTTCTTGTTGGTATGTATCTGTGAATAATACGATACTGCAATGTTTGAAGTTTTGTCGAACTGCAGCACTTATAAGGCAGCAATTGAATCTGTGACCATTTGTCATCAGAGAAACGAAAGTTTTCTTCCGCCCATTTAGTCTGGCATCTTGGTTTGGTTGCTTTTGGGAGAAGTGCCTGATACATTGTCCTGCACAACGCAGTTTTCAACTGTGCTGTGCTATCATCTGGCATTCGTATCTCGGGGACCGAGCCACTGTTATCCGGCGCCAGGGTGGAACTGGCGTGCTGCCTCATGACGACTTTCCATTGGCGTGGGATGGCATGAGCCAAACTTTGATATTTATATAAGGCAATCCGAGTTCCTGGGTGTTTAGCTTCAAGCTGTGAGTGGGTTATGAGCGCCCCTTGCGAGACTAGATCGCCGACACATTTTATTTCTCGCTCATAAAGTTCTGCGAAAAATATTGATTTCCTATCTATCTTAATATGTTTATTGCGCCACAACCTCTGCTTGTACACCGCTTGTGGGGTGTTGCACTCGTCTTTTGCCTGCACAGTCTCGTACTCTCTGAGCGCAGAAATGTAAAAAGGCGGGATTCCTAAGGCCGACAGATCCTTGGTGTCAAAGTCAGTGCACAGCAGATCTTCCAATTTGAGTTTTCCTATTGTGTTTTGCAACAGAAGTCTCCATGGTGAATGAGTACTAGTTAGCATTCTACGACACCAAGTTAGTCTCAGCGCAGAAATATGGCTCTTAAAATCCAGCGCATTCATACCGCCTTCAGCGATTGTCTGGCATAATACACTTCTCTTTACTTTTGGTGGCCGGTTTCTCCAAAGAAAAGCAGAGAGTTCCCTATCGATGTCTCGGCAAACTTCTTCGGGGATGTAATACGCTGACGCGAGGTATGTGAATTGACTGGCCATTAGCATTCTCACTAACGTTATTCTGCCTTTGAGACTAAGGTCCCTCACCTTCCACATATTCATTATGTTCCTCATTTTTCGAACTTTCGGGTAAACGTTATCTTCTAAACAATGCTCTACTGGCGAGAATATAACACCCAGCGATTTAAATTGTTTTGTACATGTTTTCCCGCATATTGGCTCATGACTCGTCCTGTTTAGACCAAGCCAAACAAAGTCCGTTTTTGACATGTTGAGCCGAAGACCAGATACCTTGCCAAACTCATCCAACAAACCTAGTGTTTTCCCCCGCGGACTGCTCATCTCTAACGAAGATAGTCGTATCGTCCGCGTACTGAGATATTTTCAACTCCATCCCATTAACTGAAATTCCAGCTATTTCGTCGTAATTGCGTAACTTGCATGCAAATGTTTCCGCTGCAAGGACAAACAAAAGCCCGGATATTGGGCATCCCTGTCTGACGGCTCGGGATGGTTGAATCCATTCAGACGATATGCCGTTATTTAATATTGCCAATTCAGTCTTTTCATATAATATGCGAATCCATCGGACAAACGATGATCCGAAATTGAACGCTTTTAGTGCCCTGAACAAAAAGTCGTGCTCGACTGAGTCGAACGCTGCAGCGTAATCAAGGTTCATCAAAATACCCGGCAGTGCTTTTTCTTTACAATAAAACATGACATCAGATGTTAATCTGAGATTGTCTGCTATGTTTCTACCACTCAGAAAACCCGTCTGCTCGGGAGCTATCAGTTTATCAATTACATTAGACATTCTTCTAGCCAACACTTTTGCTACGATTTTGTACAAAACGTCTAAAAGGACGATGGGCCTCTTATTGCTGAGCATTCTTTGATCACCTCTTTTAGGCAACAAAACTATATAGCCTCTTCTCTGCGTAATGAAAAACTCTCCCCTTTCGAAGGCAAAATTAGCGTAACTAACAATCAGCGAGCCCAAAACGTCCCAGAAGGCAATAAAGAATTCCTTCGTAAATCCTGATGGACCTGGTACCTTGTCATTCGCCATAGATTTTAATGCTGCAAGGCATTCGTCATTAGTAATTGGGCCCTCACAGCTGTCTCTTTCACTGTTTGTTAGCTGTGGGATGTGTAAATCAGCAAAAAAGTGTTCCAGCTTCGTTGCAGACGCATTATCCCTCGTTGTTGCGTATACTTTTTTAAAATGGTTCGTGCAAGCCTGGAGGATGGCAGCGTTCCCTGTTACCTCATTTCCATCGTCATCTTTCAGCTTTCGAATTGTACCGTCATCCTTCCCTCTCGACTGCAGATTTAGGAAGTATCCTGTGGGCTTCTCTCCCTTTTCGGTCCATTTTGCTCTACTGAAAAGCATCGCTTTCCTAGCCTTTTGTTCCTGTATTTCCTCCCACTTATTTTATAGTCATTATATTCCGCTCTTACGTCCGTTCCTTGCTGTATTTGTATAATGCAGCGTACTAGTTTAGACAACAAACTTTTTTCCTCTTTGTTGCGCTCCATGGCAAGGTATTTGGAAGTAGAAATAGTCACCGCACGTATACTTCCCATCAGTACTTCTACTAATAAGCCGGGATCCTCGATGTCATAAATTCCGGTCCTAGCTCTTGCCTGTTCAATTTCCCACATAACCTTTTCTCTAAATTCTTCGTTTTCTAGCAGGGAATTATTAAATTTCCAAACTCCCGGTCCGCGTTTATCCTCGCAAATCTTCAGACTCAATCTAATCATTTTATGGTCTGATCGGAAAGCTGGTCTCACTTGTACTCCTGATATACCCTGCGTTGCTACAAGTGATTCGCTTATGAAAATGAAGTCGATGCGCGACTGTTGTAAAGCTGCGGAGGTGCCGCGCTCCCATGTAAAGCCATTCGTGCTCGGGTGCAAATGCCTCCAGGCATCTACGAGGTCAAACTTATCAAGAATTTCGGCTAAACGTGCGCTCGTAACGGTACGTACGAATCTCGCGGAAGTATCTAGTTTTGACAAATGCGTGTTAAAATCTCCACAGATAATTAGATCGTTTGAGTCGTTTAAGCGTAGTAGCAGTTGTTCCAATTTGTTCAAATAAGCCAATTGCTGCGCTTGTTGGCTGCTGGTGGGCGCATAGACTGCAGCGACGTAAATGAGTCTGCTAAGACAGTTTAGCTCTGCAATGATGAGCCGACCATCATCCTCCAAAATCGTTGACTTCACTTTACTCTGCATTTGGGTTGGGAGCAGCAGTGCTACACCTCCTTGGTTTGTTGATGCTCCATGACTAAACAAAATTTTTGATCCCCATTCAGCACTCCAGAAACGCTCATCATCTTTTTGGAGTACGTCTCTTGTAGAGCTACAATGTGCCCGGGATACGTGGTATGTAAATGTCTAAATAAGGCACGTCTTTTGACCATGTTCCTTATACCCCTCACATTTGCTGTGATAATATTTAATGTTTCAGAACTAGAGGTGGCAAAATGTGGACCCGAGGACCCGGTCCAAAGAACCAGTCTGGACCCATATGGTCCAGACCGGTTCCTGGAACTTTTCTGACGGGTCCAACCGGGTCCTACCATTAACTATACATCTTGCACACTGCACATTACCGCAAAATATGAAGTGAATGGTTCTTTGCACACAGTATCTCATGAGTATTCCCAGTGGGAAATATGCTGTTTTACATGATGCAACTAATGATACCTACAAGTAGTTTGTATTAATTGACTTTTGGGGAACGGGTCCAACTGGTTCCGATTCCAACTAAGACCGGGTCCGACTGGTTCCAGAAATGTCCAGCCGGGTCTGGTTCGAGTCTGGTTCCCAAAATTTTCATCTTTTGCCACCTCTATTCAGAACCCATTGCGGCTCATAAATATAACGTGATATGTCCCTCCCTCGGATACAAATGATAGTGCTATAACAAATGAACAGGTAGCGAGAATTACAACCATCCTGAGTTTCACGAAGATCGTATTTTGGTATGAACACATTAAATGCCAAACAAATATACGCACATACAGAACAAAATGAGGGCACTTCGTGCATCCCACCATGCGCGTAGCGTTGGCAAAGCGCCACTTCACCACCGGCTCCCGCCCTCCCCCCATCCCCACCAGCCCAGCCCCAACAGACAGGTCCGACAGACAGTCCGCGCTCCAGACAACGATGGGCCGAAACAGGGGCGCGTCCAGTTTGCGGGTCAGGTAGGTCATGGTCCTTAGCTGCGAGCGGTTTCGATCAACTGTGGAATCTCAGACACGTCGTTCACAACGCATTTTAGTGCCACCTCTGTTAAGCCTGCAATAAACCGCGCCCGCGTTTGTGAATACAGTATTCACGCTCCCTTTTTTCTTCTCAGCCAACAGTGCCTGGAAAATTTTCATCCTGTTCACAGTGAGGTATTCACTGATGAACAGCTGCTTATGCTCATCCGCTGCGCGACCAGGAGGTCGCCTGAGCGAGATGCGTTCATAGTACAGCCTGTCTCTCACAGAGCCCCAGCCACAGCGCTCGAACTTACAGAGGATTTTGCCGTTGCCGATCCGCCGTGCCGTGGCCACGTCGTCTCTGCTCACCGGCACAGAGGGGAGATGGCGTCTCAGGACGCCGACGACGGTGTCGACGACGTCCTCCCCGCGCCGAACGTCGCCGCCCTCCCTTGACTGCTGCTGCGGAGCTGCGGGAATCGCCGATCCTGAGAAGATGAGGTAGCTCAGCTTTCCTTCAGCTTCCAGGTTCTCAGCGACCTTTTCCACCTTCCGCAGGCGTTCCTCTCGGTTGTCGTCGCTGCCGCCGAGTGCGTCGAGCTGCTGATCACGATTCTCAACGTGACTCTCGAGATCTGCAACTCGACTTTTCAGAGCCGAAACTTCTGTTTCCAGTGCCTTAGTTCTAGTTTCAAACATGGCGGCCATTTCTTCATAGAAGCTAGTCATCTCGGCTTTGATGAGATCTCTTAATGCACCGACTGTCATACTAGTCACCTTGTCAGAGTCGTCGGGTCGAAGTTGTCCCGACGCCTTCCTCTTCTTTGATCCTTCCTCCGCCCGCTCGTTAGCTGCGTTAAAGTGGTCAGCTATTGAGCGGACAGAGCCGGCGTTCGACCGTTGCACGGTCTTGCCGAATACCAGATTAGCGCGAATTTAATCAAAAACCCGACTTTCGATAAACTGTTATTTATACCTATCAGTGGGTAGGAAATTGTCTGAAGTTATCGGATAGAACCTTATTTTTAAGCCACTTTACCATTTGAGGACTTATATCCCTGCCGAAAGTAGACCCACGCTCCGGTTCCTAAAATCGGGCTATGGTACTGGTAAATATGTCCAGTTTTCAACGTAAATTTTACGGAAGTTTCGAGAAGATATACGAGAAAATAGCATATCACCGAATAGCACAATTCATGATGAAGCTGTTTCTGCTATCATGGTAGCTTTTCAATGAATGGTTTTTGAGTTTAATGAGTTAGAACAAGAGCCCTGCATGTGTATCGTTCTCACGATAGTATTTAATAAAGAAGTTGAAAAATGTCAAAATGGATAAAAATGGATATGACGAATAGGGCATGGCTGAACTCTCCACAACCTTTCTGAACATAAGCGAGCAAGTTTCAGCTGCCAGTTTTTGCCTATTTGCCGTCAACTCAGCTTTGAACATGTCTAGTCGGCCGCCCTATGTGACCTGACCAAGGTCGGGGGCGGCGCGGCCGGACAGGCTCCAGCCTAATAAACTATCTCAAGCACACGAAATCGTGATTTCATGCACTCCTTGCAAGGTCCGATGCTTCAATTATGCATTGTTGGTCTTACGTGACGTCATGTATGACGTCACTAGGGTAATAAGAGTTTTTCGTCAATAACTCCCGATTAAATTGAGCTAGCGAGTCGAGAAAGCCACCAATGGACTCAGGAAGACTTGCCGAATCGAATGATATGCAACATGACCTTCAACCAACTTCGTGATCTGGAGGACTCTGACCTGACCTTGACCCACGGTCAACACCTTAAGTTAACTTCAGCCGAACAAAAAGTATATCATTCGACGCGCCTGAGTGAGGCGAACATGATGATACCAAAATTGCGGCTCTGCGGCATTTTTTCGCGAAGTTATTAATAAAAATGAATCCGCGCCTGGGTCACTTGACCTGACCTCAGAGGTCACAGGTTGGCCTGAGACCTTAAAATCGGATACCAGTCGCTGCGTCTCGTAACGGCGCACACGCTCGTTTTTTCCGCGGGGCTCTAGCTCCATCAGGGGCGAAACAGCGACGGGGGTCGTACCACCCCCCCCCCCTTCGGCCGGCGCGTATTTTGAAAACCAATAAGTCCGGCGAGGGGTAAGTGTCAGTTTTGGAACCAGAGAACCATTTTCAGTGGATCCGAGCGGCGCTGGGATTAAATTCGCGCTAAACTGGTGTTCGGCCACACTGTGCGTTGGCTCAGGCCGGCGCCGCCACTGCTGCCGCTGCGGCCTCGACCCGGGTCAGAGGAGGCGGAGCCGGGCCGGGAGGTAGAGCGGCCGGAGCCGGTGGCCGCGCCGGCGCCGCGCCCGCCTCTGTTCTTGTTGCCAGTCATTGCAGGGTGGATGCAACCCAGGTGAGAGCGGTCGCTGGGGTACTGTGGTCGCAAAAAAAAAATACACAATTTCGTGGCGGAGGGCTGCTCAGCAGGCCACGTAGTTGTCACACCCCGAGTTGAGCCACCTTTAGTCCTTGACACGCTTGAGCACCGTGCAATTGTCCCACCTCACTGTTGTCACAGACCCCGGCGTCACTCTAATCACCGAGCTGGCCGGTCCAGTTGGCGAGCTGGTCCAGCCGTGGTCACTGCGCTCACCACGGGTCAGCTGGCGGAGCGCGGAGCGGCGCGCACGCACGTCCGACCTGGTCCGCTGCCAGCTGACGACTGACTCGCCAGAAACCCTTAGACAAACACAAACACGACTTTTCACGTGTCATGTGCCGCGACGATCACCCATGGATCCATGAAGAGTAGGCAATTACGGATAGAAAGGATGGGGCTATCCAACAAAAAAGACCACATGTCAATCGGCCCAGAGGTTGCTGAGGTATAACCCTCTCAAAAGCGTCACAGACCGGGTCGGGCCGGGCCGCTCATACCAGGGTTGTGCTCGACTAAAAAAAAATTGCCGACTTGACTCATCATTCAGCTTCAGAATGCCCTGACTCAACTCTGACTCAAACAAGGAGCTGATTTTTTCCCTTGACTCGACTCATGACTCAAGCAGCTCAATGAAAATACGAGTTGACTCAAACTTGACTCAAATTTTTTGTTGAGTCAAGTGTGTTGACTCAAAATTGACTCAGATAAAAAGTTGTTGAGCGGGGGGGGGGGGGTGAAAAAATCCGGCAGCAGGGCCAGGCCTAAGTTGTTAATCGGGGTGAGAGTGAAAAACTTATACTATATATTGTTTCTAGAAAGTTGAGTCAGCTGACTCATGTTCCTAAATGTTTTTGACTCAACTCAATGTCAAAAGTTATTTTACTGACTCAACTCTGACTCAACTCAACACCTTAATATTTTTGTCCGACTCAACTCTGACTCAATCAACAGCTCAACATTTTATCCGACTCGACTCAAATCTGACTCATTTGAGTCAGAGTTGAGTCAAATTTCTGACTCGACTCATGAGTCAAGCACAACCCTGGCTCATACTGACATGTTTCCGTTGTAATGAAAAGACTCGTTTGGTGCTCGCTGGTAGCAGTTAAGTGATTCACTTTTTTTAATAGGCCGGTGTTTGTTACTGAGTTGGACGGGACAGCCCCTGCACTTCCCCTGATGACCCGCTGACGTCCTCAGGTGGTTTGGTGCTCGGTGGTCGGCCGCTGAATGAATCATTCTCGCCAGGAAATCTCGGCCACTTGAGAGCACTATGATGGAGCTAATGTGTCCTAATGGTCTCCTGGGCTCGGCGGTCGGCGGTGCGGCGCTCGCACCCGGCCACAGAGCGCTCATGCATGGTTAACGGGGCGCCGCCGGCCGAAAGAGAGAGAGAGAGAGAGAGAGAGAGAGAGAGAGAGAGAGAGAGAGAGAGAGAGAGAGAGAGAGAGAGAGAGAGGGAGGGAGAGAGAGGGAGATGGAGGGAGAGAGAGGGAGAGGGAGGGAGAGAGAGGGAGAGAGAGAGAGAGGGAGAGGGAGGGAGAGAGAGGGAGAGAGGGGGAGAGAGAGAGAGAGAGAGAGAGAGAGAGAGAGAGAGAGAGAGAGAGAGAGAGAGAGAGAGAGAGAGAGAGAGAGAGAGAGAGAGAGAGAGAGAGAGAGAGAGAGAGAGAGAGAGGTGGGGACCCGGGGCACTCGGAGGGGGCACTCGGACAGTCAACGAGCCGGGCCGTCAGTGGTGGGTAGCGGCCGTCAGGGGCGCTCAGAAGCAGCAAGCTCCGCCCCCTCTGGCCTCTCCCCCCCCCAAAAAAAAAACAACAGTAAAATGGTGCACATGGTGGACTCAGTGCCAAAAGATATCGACAGCATTGTTAATCTGCGTACCAACAGGGCAGATATCCGCTCCCAGAGTCTTTCTGTTTCTAACTGTCAGGTCATGTGACATCACCAGCTCGGTTAACTCGATATGTGACATCACCACAGGTCACCAAAACATCTTCCTAATAACCTTTTATAGGAAAATATACCGCATAAATGATCTCATTATGTTCAGCGTCTCAAAACATATCCAATGTGATCTGTTTTTACCAATTTTGACCAACTTAAAACCTTAACCCGGCAGGCGGTGGGCCTCCCAGCCACCTTCCGCGCGGTGGGGAGGGGGGGTATTTTTTGCCCGCCTCGTATCTCCGAAACTACTGGACGGATCCGGAAAATTCAAACGGCGTTCGATAGCCCTGTCAAATTTGTCATTGGAAACCAAATTTCATTGACCTCGGAGTCACCGATGACGTCACAAGTCAGGTCAAAGATAAAATGTTTCACCGTTCACGGGGCTTCTAGGGAAAGCGCTATAACACCGAGTAAAACGCATTTTGCCGAAAATCAGCGATAAGGCGTCAGTTGTCTAGTACATATGTTGCTATTAGAGGTCACTGGTCATACCAGGTCAGGTCACAGGTCAGGTCACCAAAGGTCACCAAGGTCACTACTCACTACATGAACCCAACTTTACTAAGGTTGTGCGATGCATGTTTTATGGCCAGTTTCTCACTTCCAACTCAATGGTATTGGTTATAAGACCATCAGGCACGGTTTAAGTCACTTTCTGGTGGAGGTCAGGTCAAGGTCAGGTCAAAAAAGGTCACATTTCAAAGTTGATATTTTTGCATAAAATGGGTATCAATTCGATGCAGCTCGTCACGGGGAGTCTAATGGTGGTCTTTGTTTTGCGCTACAAGGTCTAGAATTACTAAAAATTGAGTTTAAAAATTTGACGTCATCAATTTTGAACAGTTTTTTCGCAATAACTTGGCCAAAAAAAGCGGTATTGATCTCAAGATTGGTATGTAGATAGAAGGCGGTAGGGACTATCACATATATTCCGTTTTTTTTTTCGAAATTCAAAACGTTTTTGGATTTTTCGGCAATTATATTCAAAAAATCTATTCTTTATTTTTGGGGGTCAAAATCCATAAAATTCGAAAAACCGAAATTTCAGTTTTGTAGCCCTCTTCATTCCACACCTTTTATGTCCGGAACATTTTTCTCTATCTCTAAAGCTGTAGGCCTGACAGCTCTTCCCGCGAAACCTTTTTTTTGGGTCGAAAATGGCAAAAATGACGTCACTCTGACGTCATTAGCGGCGAACCTATCATAGCCTTTGGAACAATTTTTGGTCACCATGTGCGCTAGCTACTCCCGGGAGGGTACTGAAAGTTTGGTGACGATCGGCGCAGCGGTTCTCGAGATATATCGAAAAAACTAAAGGGGGGCAAAAAATGCCCCCCCCCCACCGCCTGGAAGGTTAACCCGCG